GGGCGTGGGCCCGGGCGCGCGGGGGCGAAGGAGCGCGGTGCGGACCGACCGCGGTGTGGGTCGGCAGGGAAGGAGGAGGCAGAGGCGGGAGGGAGGGGCAGAGGCGCTGGCGAAAGGATTTACCCGCGCGGGAAAACAACCGGCTGGACAAACGCAGGGGAGCGGCGGGAGCCGCTGGGGTGGCCCGGCAGCCGTGGCCCACGCGACCCGGGAAGTAAGACCTGTGTCGCGGACTTCGCCGGCGGCGCTAGACTACGAAGTTCAGTCGCCCGGCCCGCGAGCGGTTTCCAGGGGCGTGTCCGGGGCATGCGCCCCGCAGCCCGGTGCCAAAGCGCTCTCCCTGCTCACCACCTCTGTTGCCAGAGGGAGCGGGACGGTTAGTCTTGCTTTAAGCCAGGGACAATCCCCGCGGGCTATGGAGCCCCGGGGAAGTGGGCGCTGCCAATGAGAGTTGGGGCGGGATCCAGGGTGACTGGGCTGCCCTCCTTCCCCTTCCCTTCTCTTCCTTGCGCTTGACCCACACAGTGAGGAGGAAGGTGAGCACGGCCTGGCCGCTGCCGAGGCCCCTGCTGTGGCCAGGAAGACAGCCAGGGCCACTCAGCACTTTCCATGCTGGCCTGAGCTTTACGATGGACACCCGTTCCCCCCGGGCGCACTGCCTCAGGTAGGACAGGGGCCCAGCCAAGAGGCCGCGTGACCCAGGTTCCCAGCTGTGTGGCCAGGGACCAGCGTCTCTGCTCTGAACCCGGCGAGCCCCACCTCTGAAATGGGAAAGGCTAATAAGTATCTCTCACTCTGGCTGTTGCAGAGGGATAGCGATGCAGGAAAATGTTCAGAAATTCGCCCTTCATTCTCTCTCCCAGCCACCGCCAGCTTTGGTGACCTGGGCAGAGGATCAGGTCAGCGTTAGACAACGCCAGGAGAATTCCCTCTCTGCTAGTTCCCACCAAGCTCCTTTCTGTGCCCACCCCGTGTTAGCCACTTTTCCTCAGGGAGTTCCCCACAGAGCCACCAGGAGATTGTCCTGCCCGTTGGCTATTTTGGTCCAAACACCCTAGAATCGACAAGCTCCCCCAGACCAAAATAACCCAGGGAACAGCTGTCAGGGCAACAGGCCCCCAGAGACCCTGGCCTGGCCCGCTGGGGATTGGTGGAGCCGGGGATTCTGAAGCCACACGCTAAGCCCCCGGCCTTTTTCCACAGGCACTGGTGGTTGATGCCTTTCAGCTCAGGGATCAAACGCTGAGCCTCTGGGACAGAGCCAAGGGCTCCGAGAGGGGAACGTTTGCAGGAGCCTTGTTGAGGGGCAGGGGAGCCTGGGAGGAGGGCAGCTCTTTTTCTGCTTCTTCCACAGCCACCAAGCCAGGCCTCTGGAGTCCCAGTCTTCACTTTTGCAAGGTCCCCACTCTGCCTTTGTTGTCCCCAGCTTCGAGGACTCAGCTGGTCTCACCCTCTGGAAGAGGCAGTGAGAGGCTGGAGCTGGTCTGAAAGCACCCAGATCCATCAAGGCTGCATCAGAAGATAGCTAACAGGAGACAAGGAGATGGATCTTTTGCAGAAAGAAAGGGGACCCAGACATAGAAGGGGGAAAGGGAGGAAGCGATGGAGATGAACAAAAAATTCAGGTGTGTTATGTCCGTGGGCTAGCTCCCCACGCTGAATGTAATCCTTACGTACTACCAACATGGACTTGTGATTTTTTTTTTTATTTTAAAGAGGATGTGTTGTTGAAGCATAGGCAGGTAGTGGAATAGACCCCTGCCCCACCTGCAGCCACTCTGCGGAAGCTTCCTCGGAGGGTTTCTTTCTCCCCTTTCCAACCTCAGGCTCAGTTCTGGCTGCTAACCCCAACACGGAGGGGGGTCCTCTTTCCTGGTTTGAGTCTGAACATCCTGACTCCTGCCTTTGGTTGGGCTGCTATCTTGCACACATGTCCGTGTGCCTGTGAGTGTGAGTGTGTACACACAAGTTCTCCTGCCAAAGGGTCTGGCCCATGTGTCAGGACCCAGGCTCTGGACCTGGACCCTCCACTAAGCACAGAATCTTTCCCAGGCTACATGGTCTTTCCTAGCCTGGATCCCTTGAAGATAAACTCTTCACATTTCCGAAACTGGCCGGAGGAAACTGGGCCTTCTTCTAGGAGGTGGCCACGCAGAGTAAACGCTGCAATTCGTGGCAGCAAACCCAGTATTAGGGCCAGTTCTTTGGTACTGGGCAGAAACTTTACCTGGCCCTCATTGGTGACAGTGTCAATGAAAACAGTATATTTCTACCTAATATGTGCAGAAAATTTAACCAACAGGGGCTTGTAAAACAGGAAAATGCTTGATAGCAAAATCGTAAAGAGGCTTCTGGTAGTGAAACTGCTGGGAAATAATCATCCCTAGCTTTGATTCCCTCATCCTGAAAGGAGGGAGAAAACCCCTTCCTTCTCCCCTTGCACAGGCAGGGTGGGGGCAGCGTGGGGAGTCATTTGCACGGGAACGTGACTTGGAACACCTGGGGGAAGCATTGCACGTAAAAGTACGTGTAAGTCTTCCCACAGCAGGAGCTGCTTGCTTTTTGCTTTGAATGTCCCCAAAGTCCCTTGGATCCAAGTCTAAACTGTTTTCATTAATGCCAGCATGAACAGCCATAGCTGGGGTCCATGGGGAGCAAAAGGGTCCCCCAGATTGTAGGACTCCCGTCCCTTGGGAGAACGCAAGCTTTGCCACCTCGGATTTTTTTCCCCACAGCAAGAAGCACAGAGCCATGACCTCCGCAAGGTCACACTGTGAGTCAGTGATAGGAGCTGGAAATAGAACACAGGCATTGTGAGTCCCCACCTGCACCACTTAGCGCTCGCCCGGCACCCTCCCCGGGAGAGAGCCTCGTGGACTGGAGGACAGACATGGCAGGCGGAGAGACAGACAGATGAGAGTCTTTCAGAGACTGCATTTGCCGGCTCTACTTCTTCATTTAGTTTCAGGGCAACACACTCAGCTTCCTGTTCAAGAGGCTCTGAGCGGGAATGTGCCAAATGCCCCAGGTGTCCGATGTTTTGAAAACCCACATCACGCCTTCTCCAACTCTGCCCTCTCCCCCAGAATCCTCACTCCCCGCCCCATGTCCCCCTTCCTGTCCTGTCTTACGGAATCCTTGTCTGATTGATCCCCACAAGGTGGGGGCCTGGAGAGCTCTGGCGGTTCCCCACAGGGGGCCTGGACCCCGGAACAAAGCCAATCCAGTAAGAAGCCTTTTCCCCTTCAGTGGCCAGCCTGACATCCCAATGAGGCAAAGGCCCTGCACTGCAAGCAAGACGATGCCAGCGTGTTACGTGCAGGGGTGAGAATTTAGGGGGGAAGGCTACCTTTGAATAAGAATGTGGCTGGTGTTGGGTGATGTCATTTGGGCTACTGGTGTGAATCACTTCTGATCAGTGCCAGGCTGCCTGGACAGGAGGTACGAGGACATGCCTGGGCCCCAGGAAAGGAGATACACTGACTGGATGGAACGCTCTCTCTGCTGCAGAGACCCTGCTATGTGTCTGTCTCCACCAAAGGGCCGAACTCCAGCTCCCACCCCACTGCCCTTCCCAGCTACCACCACCAGGGGGCACCATGTGCCCTTCGCAGCTACCACCACCAGGGGGCACCATGTGCCCTTCCCAGCTACCACCACCAGGGGCACATCAGATCACTTCAAAGGAGCACCCCTGCTCTGCTTTTCCCGTCTGGAACTAGTAAATAAATCTTCCAGCCACTTAAAAGGGAGAAGGGTGAGTGGCAGTAGCAGTTGGGAACATGGGCTAGGAGTCTTACAGACCTGGGTCAAATCCAGGTGTGTCACTTTGAGCAAGTTACTTAATTTCTCTAAGCCTCGGTTTTTCTATCTATAAAATGGGCTAGGCTAAGGATCTGGTCCACTGAGTTGCTATAAGGATTACATGGGATAGCTATGAAGTGCTTAGCAGTGAGACTTCTGCATCCTTATAATTCAGTAAATGGTAACCGCATTGTGGTTTATTTTCCTTCACATGTATAGATGAAGATTTTGTGTAAATCCTTGCCCAAAACATCTTCAGGCAAAGAATTTCAGTGTTTACCACTCTGTAACTTAGCAGCGATGCTTTGATATTCTATGATAAGTTTTAGGAACTCTCTTCCCTGAACCATTTACCACTCAATGACCCACCTCAAACAGACAGACAGACATACACACACATACACACAGAGAAATCCTCTCTATTCCTCTCTCTCTCTCCCCCTCTCCCTCTCCAGCTCCAGCTCTCGCTGACTGTGTGGCCACAGCTAGGGGTTGCTGTCTTCCCCGTGCCCCTTGCTCCCTAGCCTGCTTGGCCTGAGTGTGGGCAGGCTAATGAGGCTGAGGACAAGGGGTTGGTTTCTTGACCTGGCCCAAGGAGATGTCTGTTCTGTGCTCCAAGCTCATGCTGGCCACCTCCCCAGAAAATGCAGGGCCTAGGGTAGGACTGGAGGAGGAGGGTGGGGATAATGTCCCTGGAGGAAAACAAAATCTCAAGGCACTATTATCCTATAGGCTGGGGGCACATGTCCCAACAAGCCCTGGTATCGTCCTTCCCCAAGTCCTCTTCTCTTGCCTCCAGTTCTGTCTGTTGGCAAGGCCCCTTTGCCTTTCTTCTCCGTATCCACTGTTGCCTCTTTAGTCCAAAGCACTGAGCTCACAGATGCTTTTACATCAATACGTCTTGTTCTAAATTGTTACATTTGGAGATTATTTGTTATACAGCATTAGCTAACTACTGTACCATGGAACTTGGAATAAAACCCTCCCAGACCCTGCATAGCCTGGCTCTACATATTTTCCTACCCAACTTTGGATTCTCTTCTTTCTTTTTCTTTCTTGGTACTGGGGTTTGAACCCAGGCTCTTCACACTGAACTACCTCCTCAGCCCATTTTTTATTGTTTTATTTTAAGATGAGGTCTCACTAAGTCACTAAGTTGCCTGGGCTGGGCTTGAACTTGTGATCTTCTTGCCTCAGCCTCTGAGGATGCTGGGATTGCAGGCACAGAACCTGCTTGGCTACTTGGACCCTTTTCCCTATGGTTCACTCTCCAGCTACTTTGGTCTTTCCTTATATCTAATTTCCTGTGTTGTTCCTACCACAGGATTTTTGCCCTTGCTTTGTCCTCTTCTTAAATTCCCTTTGCCCAGCTCTTGACCCTGTTGGTGTCACTTGGTCATTCAGATTTTCTCAACCCAGATGTCAGTCCCTTTCTCAGATGGGCCTTCCTTGACTCTTCCTCCTGCCCCAGTCACTCTATCCTTCCATGTTTTCTTTTCTCAGAGCACTTATTATCACATGACGTGACCACACTCTACCTTTTCCCAGTAAAATGGAACCTCTACGGAGCCCAGTGCTCTATCCCACTTCCTAGAATCAACCCCAGAACACAACTGGTGTTCAAGCAATGCTTCATTTGTTGACTGTCACCTGCCAATGCTGCTCTGCTGCTAGCTCCCCATTTCCAGTGGCTTCTGGTGATGTCCCACCTAGCGAGGTCTCACC